TATCGATACTGCCCAACACTAGTAAGGTTTGGTACCACCACCTCTTTCGGCAAGAGGAAAAATTTTGGAAGGTGTCCCAAATCCTATCGTGGAAATTATTTTTTTTGGATCACTCTTAGCAACATATGTACGTAAGTATGTACATATGTACATGTGTATGCTGCGATAAGGTTATAACTATTTCCCCGGAGCTGCGCCACCTTTCACCCAAAACCCGAAATACACACTCATACTTTTTGTCTCCTTCTCTCATTTCCAGCGCAAGCACGTGTTAACAAAATGATAACGAAGTGATTTTGTATTACAAATCATTTATACCCATATATTTGAATCAAATAGTCATACTTATAAAATATCAACCAATACTTCCCATATACCAAACGAAAGGAAAAAACTTGAATTTTTGATTAAAGATTTGGTAATCAAAAAAGTTTGCTAATTTTTTCAAAAATATTTGTTGAATATATATAAATAAATACATATAAAATTTGTACACGATAATATTACTGTTGCTCCAAGTAACTTATATCCCGAAAATGAAAGTTGAATAACTCAGTGAGAGGGGAGACCAGTATGTTTGCATGTATGTATTCATAAAAAAAAAAATACTTATTGGTTCAAAAATGGTGGGTAGGCACTGTGGCCAGTGGAAAAGTTCCTTTACCACCTCTGCATGGTTGTAAGCCATGCAGAGTCCGCAAAATGCTCCGGAAGCAGTGTCCGGAGGATGCATCAGACTAGGCCGAGCATACTTTGAAGTGCCATCTAATTAAAACTTAAGAAAGTTCAATTACATGGCAGTTGAGAAGTGCATGTGCAAAAATTTCATAAATTGCATAAAGGAAATTTTTGCACATGCAGCAGTACATAGCATGTATTTAGGCGCCTGGTATTAGCAGACGCGCCTAAACATACCGGCCCCCTAGACGGCTTGGTCGTCTAGTGGATATGACAAAAGTCGCAAATATCCGGCTCGAAGGACCATGACAACTTGGGATGCGTATGTAAAAATGGAATGACCGCGCTATTTGTTGACCGATTTAGCCGAACCCTCGAACAGCGAGCTGTGTTGAGGGGAAATTTGGCTAATTCGTTATACTAATTGGCGGGAAAAATAATGCAATTATTTATATGCTCATATTCGTATGTATGTACATATCGGTGTGTGTATGCACATGAACATTAGGGTGGTTCACCCTTTAAAAGTTTGCTTTAGGCTTCATTAGCTCTCGTGCAATAAGCGTTTCTGTAAAGCTCTAAAAATAACAACTATAACATTTGAGCATAGCCTCCATATCGAAACGTAAGACATATTCTACGTCAAAAAATTTTTGAATTTTGAAGCGTTTGTTTATATTTTTTGACATTATAGAACCTTAAAAGAGAGCTGCACTGAGATGTCAATCACACCTTGTTTACACGGTTAAAAATTTCGGTTTTAATTTTAAACTTTTTGGACTACATATATGACCAAACTAAATTTGGTTTTAAATACAAACCTTCCAAGTTTAAAACAAAAGAGAGCACATATGATGGGTTTAGAATTTAAACAGTTCGGTTTCTATTTCGTTTTCTTCACGTTACACTTCACGAAAGCTTTTTCATATTAAGAATAGAAAAATCTTAAATTTCATGTTCCGTCTGATGGGGGTTGAACCCGGACAGCCTTGGTAGCAACCAACTGTATCAAGCATCTTTGCACACTCAGCTACAGCCATGCATGATTATGTGCTTTCAAATGTTGAGTTTGAATCAACACCACATTTCGCTGTGATGATGCCGTCAGTCGCTCTGAGAGACACCCTTATGCCTAAGTCTTATATTTAGATTTTAAAC